TGAAGGCCCTGAACGACCTGCGAAAACCAGCATTGACGCGCAAAGCTAAAGTAAGAAAGAAAAAGCGGCGCTGCTCATAGTCGAGCGCGAGTTTCCTCGGTGCGCTTGTAAAAACATATATTTTCATGTTTTCCCAACTCGCCATTTCGACATACATCCATTATATTCCACATCAACTCTCGTACACATTCGAAAACTAGAAATACTTGGCTCAAAGGAATCTGGCTGTGAGTCAGCGTGACTTGGCATGCACTCCGGCCAGGCGGCGAAGCAAGGACTCCGATAAATCAACGAAACATTTTAAAATTAAAATGGCGTCACTACTTATTCAGTAGGCGCAGCAATGAAATAAAATTCTAACCTAAAATATTTCATTCTTAGGGTAACTTATATACAAACGCAGGTTCTTACGAAGGGACACTTCGCTATTAATTATTCATACACTTTCCAACATCCCAAAACGCACCGCAACGGAAAAGCACATCGTTAATTAATCATGCGTTGTATCAACATTTGCACTTAGCGTGCAGGACGGGCGCACAAAGCGTTTTGTTCCTTTTGCAAATGATCGAAACCCTCATGCAGCCGTTTGAATTTTCATACTCTCATCTCGCATGCACAACTCAAACTCAAACACTGACGACGTATATGAGTACAACCTAGAGACGATGAACTCAGGCGGGTAGTGTTAAGCAGATTAAGTTACTTGGCGAGTTAGAGGTTATGTGCAGTGCACTGAGCACGTCTAAATTTAGTTTAATAAAGATTAACAGTGTCAAATCTAATAAAATCAATGAAATGCCAAGAAATTAATTACCGCGATGTTTTTTTGAGTTCTGTTCATTAACAAGTTCATTCAGTTTGTAGTACTGGATATAATTATAAGTTTGTGCAATTAGGATTCAAAACTTTGCTTCTAATTTAGTACCACCTACACAAACACGCCAGTTTGCACTAAACAAACACATACTAACTACTAAACAACTGAACTGATAATTATTTCATGTTATTTTAGCATTGAGGAGTATATTATATGCAGTATATGTAAACAAAATACTATATTTTATTCACGATTTCTAATATCTTATATAAATGGTAAAATAGGTATAAAGTCGTTAAATTATAAAATGAATATTTATAAGGTGTATAAAACTAGCCGCCATCTTGGAAACTTTATCAAACTGCCATATTTCTCATAAGGAAATCTTAAATAACTTTTCATTATAACAGCAAAGCTTAATAAAGCCCTTCATAAACTTTTGGACTTTGCACTTTATTAGTGCGTACTTTCAGCGCGTGACCAAACTACGAGCACTTTGCTCGTTTCGCAGCGAAAACGAGCCCCTTGTACCTTGCTACAAGCACCCAAAGATGATACAATTAGTCGCATTAATTGCTAGACTTATTAGTGTCGCCATAGCGACTGATAATACCCTCGTTCTAATAAAATGTCCAGATGATTTATTTTATGATAGGCAACCAGTAATACTCCCACGTCTAACATAAAGTATAAATTACATTTACACAACCTACTTTCAATTATATCCTCTAATCAAAATTTTTAATCTATTGTGGTTAGGATATGTGGTTAAAGTAGAAATATGCATATACTCGTATCTAGCAAGAAAAAACAGAGCAATGTATGCAGGTATATAGATAGGAAGTGAAATTGCTTCCGCGCGCACAGGCGAACATGCAATGCGCTCGTTGCCGTCGTGTTCAATCATACCATCAACCCGAGCAACCCCCGACAAACGTCCCAGACCTTCAGGGTCGATCTAGGGTCTGAGTCAGAACCTATAGTCGCTAAAGATAGGTGGATGTAATGGTAGTTCAGGGCCGTGTAAATATAAGCAAAAATTTCAAATATACAAAAGTACGAAATGTGATGTTAAACACACGAAAACGAAAATGTCAAGAACACGAGAATTTTCCGCTTGATCGAATGCGTTGGAGGTGTTTCTATGGGTCATCAAACAAAATCACAAAAATCTATAATAATATAAATAAAATAAAATAAATGATGGAAGAGTGTAGTAAATTATATAGGAAAAAATAGTCAAGGATATTTTTTATATAATATTTAACCTAGTTTTATATTGACAATTCTTTGTTTCTGATTTATACTAAAAATCAAATCTTACTAAAACTTTGATGGCATGTTTATCGGTGTATGCTTGGGCTGTGCATGTTTACATAATCGATGAAAGTGGATGGGAAACCGTGTGCTTCTCATCAAATATGAACGTCAATACACTACAATGGGTTATTTAATGCGGGGACATTTTTCGACCCGTCACATTTTCACTATGAAGCAATAAAGAGAAAAAAAACTATGTACTATAGAAAATTAAGCAATCTCGATAATCAGTTTTGTATTGATTTAACAATTTATTACTAGATGGCGTCGTTTGACGTCATTAACCTAACCTAACCCTATTTATAAATATGCGCAGTTTATAAATGCATAATATTCCATTCAAAAGTACTTCGCAGTTGGTCTTTGGTCCTTGCGTCCTTCAAAGCGTGCGTCCTAGATTATAAAGCATGTGCGCGTGTTTTGTGCAGGCAAAGCACGCATAAAAATCGGAATGTGCGACGCTGTGACGCGGTGGTAGCTTGCGTATCAAAACGAGATTTGTCAGCTGCGGCGGATGGGCTTATTTTTTGATTTATTGAATATCTAACCCCAAACACGACAAGATGGAAAGAAGACTACCAAGTGGATTATGCATTCGTAAATTTATTCTGGATTTACTCAAAGAAATGGTTGCACATGGAAACGAAACGGATGGAAATCCATAATCTAATCAAAAATTTCGAAAATTTATTTCATCGTAATACGTTTTTTTTCGAATTATAAATCCAGCCAGGATTTCTTTTGCATGAATGTGAATGAAACTCAAGATGAAAGCATCTCGTGCACTTATATTCAAAGATATCCATAACTCAGACTTGTCACTGTGTATTTCTGCGAATATTTTTGTTATCAAAGAATTTCACACTTCAAACAACAACTCTGGTTGCATGACAACTCTCACATGCAGGTAAATAACATGTTATACAATACAAATATAGTTTGAGTTGAATATTTACACAGAATTTACCTTAAAATTGAAGTTTTGGTATTTTTACTAAATAAACATATTATTTTCTTTGCCTTTATCTCATTTTCTAATAAAACAAAAATTTCGAATCGTTATACGATCAAATAAACCAGCAATTCAAACGAAATAGATGTTGTAAAATGAACCCGAGCACCAGGATCCAGGTGAAAACACAAGATACACACACGCATTCATATCGATCGAGATGCGAAATTGCGAATTAAATTACACTAGGAGATAAACAATACGCAGAGAGAAATGCGAGCCCCAGCGCTGTGAAAATTCAATAAACAGAATAGAACAGAACAGAAAGCGGTAAACATACATTTGCGACGAATGTTCACGCGAATCATACGCATACAAACAGTAATAAAAACAAACCGGAATAATAACAACAATAATGGTAGAAATAATGACAGTAATAATAGTTTATGCCATAAATAAAATGATAAATAAAAATATTTAAAAAAAAGACATGATAATAAATAAACTAACGCCTCAACAATTAATATTCATATGTCTAAATTGTTTTCCATTAGTTTTATTCAATAATTTTCGACGATGAAATGTGTTACGTTGTGTGCGCGTGAAAAATCATTAATTTCATCGCATGATTTCGAACCGTTTTATTTTTCACGCTCTCTGCGTTCACCACGCCCCGATTGTGTTTCATTTAGCCTAAAATACCCGCAATTGCGTATTATAATTATAATATTTTAATGTAAGCAACCAATTATACACGCAATTAATAATAGCCGTGAATTTAACGAAATGAATTGTTTTTTCGCGTGCTTTTCCAATAAATTATACGTATTGACAAAACTAAATGCGGATATAAACTGGTACAGTTATATTTTGTTCGTATATTGGAATTGACGGTGCGAGCGTTGAGATTACAATAAAATAACCGGTAATTACACGCCAACCACCAGCCGATAACGGCACGTAATTACCGTCGTTTCGGCAGCGCTGGTGTTTTATCGGCCGCGTGCGGTTTTATCACCTCTTTAATCGGTCTTCGGTATCACCGTTGCAGTCGAACATGGCCGCCGACAGCAGTGTAATTGTTTTATTTATAGCCGGAACTAAATTATTATCAGTAAATCATTGCCTTTATTAATTTCGATTAGTAAATGCGTCAAATATCAAATATCAAAGTATGCAACCAGATACACCGCGCTGGTAATAAAAGTGCCGATTGCATTTCATGGCTTTTGTTCAATGTGTTCAATGTCATTCTGTTTGAAGAAGTGTAAATATTGGCATACAAAGATGGCGCGCCGTTCAAAGGGCCACGGCACGTCAAAGGGAAATTTCATTTAAATGCAATAGAAATGCATTTTGACAAAAGAAACGCTTGAAATTTGCATTTTACGGAAATATTAAACTAGTATTTCCTCCTCTAAAACAAGGTGAAGCGAGTAAAATCCGATCTGACGTTGTGTTCGTCCTTCGTCCTTTCGTTGAAAGCCTCCAGCTTACAGTAAGCTCCCTTAAATCACGCCGTTTTATGCAAACCTCACGCATCGTAAAAGTTGCCACGACGAAACAAGTCGAAAACGTGCTCGAGACGTACTCAGAACTAAACTCCGCCGGAGGCACATCATGCGCAACAAATCTTGCGCTAATACAATACCAAAACGAAAAATTATTTATATACCTTATTAAATTTTAATTAATTTTCTTTGTTGCAACGTTGGAACACTCATCATGTATTTATATATACGACAAAAACCTCTCGAAGAAAAAAACTTACAAGAGATTACCCTTCAGAAAACTTTCAGGTTATAATATAACAACATAACCTCTTGAGATTTAAGTGGATACTTATAAAGTTTTGCGACTTATAACATTTAACGTAAATTGTTTGTTCAACAATATGAAAAAACTTACTCAAATCCTTCACTAAAGACTTCACTGATATCCGAATCGCTCCTTGGTAAGACCAACCGCGGTAACATAACCTTCCTCCTCCTCTGTTTGATCCCCTGCATACTCATATGCATAAAATCAGGCCCTCGCAATGGCGAATGCGGTGATAAAATGGTCAACTTTCTATCTCCGGGACTCAAACTCAAATATCCAGCTGGAGGTGGTAGACTTAGATGTGAAGGGACATGTACTCTTCCAGACCACAAGCCTCGTCTTCGTTCAGCAGTTATACTATCCTCTGACCCCATTAACATCATACCTCCATCACCACTTACCGCATGTCGCTTTAAACGTGCTTCTCTTTCTAAGTAATCCAAACTCTTAGATTCTACACTTTCGGTGGACATCATCCGACGCACATCTCCAGTTGAAAGAAAACTCCTTGTAGTAGTGGTGGTCCTTAAAGATTCCATACTGCGTGCTGATTCTGTACGAATACCCACCGTGGACAAAAACTGCCCTTTATGGGGTTCATACTCTTCCTGGGAGGAACTAGAGTGTGGGGATTTGCTAAGGATGGAGTAATGCGGTGACACCCGCGTGGAGGTAGACTCTTCCGATTCCATTGAGTCACCACTCGCTTGATGCGTCACGATTTGACATTGTGGTTGGACCGAATGCACATGTGCCGATTGCTCCTCATCGTGTTGGACCACCGTTGAGGAGGAGGAAGTACGTGAGACTGAGACGTTGTGCTGAGTGAGGGTTACCGTCGAGGAGGTCTTCGACAACGAGGTAGTGGTCTCGTCATCGTCGTCTTCCATCGCAGGCAGATGGTGGCAATGATGGAGCCAATCGTCTACACAAACGCGGAAAACATCAGCACTAATCTTGGACCGAGTCCAAATCATAGACAGCGAACAATGTTGCCATAGAATCTTATCATCTCTCTCATAATCAATAAACGACCCGCACAACAATGTGCATATTCCCACGAGGGTGCGGATAAGAGAACGGGATGATTGCAAATGAATTGGTGAATGATGGCGGCGATTTACTTCCGGGACAGGCACCGGATGTGACGGAACACGAACTGTTCGAAGCCATTTAGGACGATTTGCCTCGATTACATCCGATTTGGGAAAGGGGTTAAAGATAATTCGTTTTATCCTAATCGAAGATGATTATTTTTTTGAATAGACGAATTATTTCCGTTTACTAAAATATAACTTATTGATGTAATCAAAATTCTAGATTATCCCTCATCCCTTACTCCGTTGGCTATCAGCCGCCATATTGAAGTGCAATCATAGCCGACATACTGCATTGCAATGTTCCTATAATCTAATGTATATTGAGATCCACGTCGACGCTCTGGGATTCTGGAATTGGGTACGGCTAATGGTGAAATTGGAAGATTACGCGTGTCACGCAGTTTACACGTGCGAAACGTGCACGTATCGCTAATTAATTCATGGTATCATTCGCATACGAAATAAACAGACTTCATTAGGTGCCGCCGACGCGCTTCTAGAATTAATTACGGCAACAAACATTAATTAACCAACTGAGAATAATAAAAATATAAAAATAATTAAATAAGTCTAAATTTAGCAATTCGTGGAAATTTGAATATTTACTACAACAGATAAATTGATGCAGTGTGATAACGTTGTATTCCCATCTCGATTAGCGCCGCTTTGTGGAGTGTAATTAATTTCGTATCAAGCTTGTACCCTTGTATCCTTTTATCCGTTATCAGGGTATTGATTTTCACGTGACATTTAAACTATTCTCAACGCCCACTTGTACGCTAAAAAGTTTTTCATTTTACACGTCTGGGCGGTAATAATATTTTACGGTCCTGAAACCAATTTTATCTCTACGTTATCCAATGCTAAAATATAAAATATGTATTTAATAACCGCTCACACTTCTCGTTCACTTCAATTTTCTTATCCTCTATCATCCGGGGTTATCTATACTCTTAGTTGTCTGGTCACATTCAGGCTTTTGCCTGTTATAGGTGTATACAAACTTTAATATCTTCTCGAATATTTTCCAGCGTATTTCTCGGTTGTTTCGAGCGTCAAAACGATCAACTTGAGCTGATAGCCTGCGACGTTGCACTCTCGAGCGCAAAATAGCGAGAGCGGAAGGATTTTCGACTCATATTGCGCATAATATAGGGCTGCAAACTTCGCCCACTCACAACAAGCTTTAACAGCGAGAAAAGTTCGTAAAACGTAACAGGAAAACGTGTTCCTAACGATGACCATAAAAGTATTATATTTTCAAACATAAAATATTTTAGGTTTGTTGATTTTTGCTCAACAAATCAATAAAATTTCTAATTTCTAACAATTAAAAATTAACACAACCATGATAGTGGCTCTTAATCCCCAATAATCAATGATTAATATTTGCTTTAGTGGAACTCATGCAATCTACATAATGATAATTGGTAGTTCGAAAACTATAGTAAATAATTGCCACCTCGTGTAATTAATATCGTCACACCGGCATACGCAAACAGTTTCTAAATTATTGCCCAGGAGAAACACGTCGAATATTGTTGAATTCAACAAACTCACTAAATCCACATCAGCAGAGTGTTTACGAACGCGGGGGAAAACAACGGCTCAACCGAGGTAGCAAGTACTCTCATCCAATGCAATGCCGACATTGCGGTAAGCTAGCTGTGTAGACTATCTATATAGACTATGAAGTATAAAATTAAATTTAAATAATAGCCGCAAGGAGTGCGCTCACCGAGCACGCTCATTATTAATTCCACATTGCCAGGATTCCACAATATCAACCAACATTTTACAGTTACAACGTTTCCTTGTTTCGAAACTCTAACAAGCAAAGAGGAAAAATAGAATAAGAAAAAGCACTATTGTACTAAAGTTATAAAAATAAAGGTTGATAATAGAGAATGATAGTACAAAGAGAAGATGGCAGATGATGAAAAGCGGAAATAATTAATTAAAGAACTTAATATAAAATACGATGCTTTTACATTTGAAAAAAGCGAATAAAAACATGTATCTTAATTAACTTATGATCACTTTAAAATCTAGATGGTGGATATATTTTGAATACTGTGAATAATGTGCATATTCCATGCTAAAAATATGCTTCAGCTTGAGTTTAGCGCGCCGGCTTCAATTTAGGAGTTGATTAAAATTGAAATTAATGAAAATTGAAACCCTCGAGGGCGTCTCTATGCCCGCACACGTCGCCCAGAGTGTTGAGAGTTGAACGCAGCATATCGCAAATGGTTTCCTATTTATATTTATTCTATTTTTACATTTTTTCCGTTTGTTATGCAAAGCAACTTTTTTTACACATTCGTACTAAAGTTGAAAACAAGTTGGAAAATTGAATATTGAATATTGAAATAAAAATCAAATGTGGAATCGAACACAAAACTTAATTATACTCGTACATCCTGTTATTTTTTAATAGTTGTCAAACCAGTAATTTCAATTTTAATTGTATTTAATTTAATATATAACTTCATAAAATATTTATATAAATATATTAATAAATATCTGCACATTTAAACTCATAAATGTTTAGCTGGCTGGTTATTATTATGCGTTTATGACTCGTGAATGTTTGGAACAATTTCTGGATGCTGTCCAAGCGACATATTCTCGAAGTTTTGCCGAAACACTTAACAATATTATGCGCATCAAATCGACCGCACGCAATTTGTGTTTCACGCCACAAAAATAAATTGAAACATTTGCACAATATCAATTTCACTCAATAAATATCTCATCAGAAATATCAATAAAAACGCCTTGTGCTTTAATAGGTTCCGATTTATATTGATTTAATAGTTTTTATCGTTTCATGTCCGAGAGAAATTTTCCAAACTATTCAACCGCACAAATGGATGCAGGCGCCATTCTAAACATTTCCGGCCACTGAATCAACAATGGTGTAGGTATGACCCGGCGCTGGTTGAATTTCCGAAATAGAACAATGGATTTTCACCCAATAACGCGCACCAACAATCAAATATTTATTCTAGTTTCCAACAAAGCACGTAATTCAATGTTTTGATTTTCATTTGTCATTTTTTGTTAATATTTATTACGTCACAGTTTAGTATAGTATACATATATTTTGTGTTGCGATTACTATATCATGTTGTTGGGAGATTACCGCTACCAACCGAGCATAATGGCTTCACTAACAAGTTGATCACTTGATGCACCCCACTTGAAACTATAACCTCATTCTGTTTATGTTGCTCCACACCGTCATAACAACCTGTTATCGTAGTAAGCTCACGCTCGCAAGCGCAAACACAAAGTATGTTCGTCTAAACAGTCCTTTGAAAACGCTAAGTGAAAGGCTGGCTGCCTACACTCAACCATCAGGAATGAAAACATTTTGTCAATGCCTGTATTATACGCATACTAAACCTGCATTACGATAGTAATAGAATATACTAGATATAGGCAACACAAACCGCATTTCGAAAAGTTTAATAGAATAGAATGGGGTTAAAGCGTAAAGTTATGCAGAATGTCAAGTTACTAACGAGGATAACAGGATAACAAGGTGGTGACACAACAACAAGTGTGCTCCCAGATGCAATTATAACGAGCTGCTGAAGCTTGTAAACCGGAAGTATACACAACTGGTGTTACCGCACGTGTTTCTCAAGGGATGACTTACGTTTGCGCATAATTTCAATTTAAATTCATCTATATTTAGTACATTTTTTTGTTACTTGGTTTATTTTTATACTTTGGGATGACTGATTGATCAAAATGGTATAAAGAGCAATCCATTAGGCTTAGAGAGATGCACAGATTCAATCCAGAGCAACAAAATAGAACGAGTAATGAATCATCTAGGCACAAACAGGAAAGTCACTAAAATGAAGGCTTTCAGGCTTTTGATATCAATTACTAACGGGGTAAAAAGAATTTTCAGTTTGATGAATCAAAACTAGTGCGGAATATGCACTCGAAATAATAAAATGTATTTTCATGAAAGAAAAATATGATATTTTTGCTTCCACATGAAAAATTATGGATAATATTTTCTGGAATTATGTTTTTTATACCTGGTAAAGCTGCTTATCTTATTTTTTCCGGTATTTTTCAACATTTTATAAATTTCCTAAACTTTAACTTTTTGTTTTCTAGAAAACTTTTATAAGGGCTCTTAAATCAAGTTTCTCTTCTTTTCTTTGTGATATCTTTGAAAATTTGATATCACTTTTATGTTGTTTTATTTACCTTCATTTTTCTTTTCTTCCGGGATATTTTCAGTGCTTAGTATTATCGAGTACGGCAATAATTTAACATTACTTTTGTTTTTGTTTTATTTTGGGTTTGGGTCGCAAGCCTTTCATTGTCCTCCCGGTGGTTGGCGTCCTGTTGCGTTTGCGTTTTAATCCTGTTGCTTTTTAAAGCTTTGTGTTCGCTCCATTTTCCTTCCTCTCTTTGTTTCTGCTTCCATTTTTTCTACTCCCCTCAAGTACATATATGGTTATATCAATGTGTTCGTGTACATTTACATTTTCGTATATGAAATTCAAAATTTACAAAATTAGTCCCTATTCATTATTAATTTTCCCCAGCGACTCCTGTTACTTTCTCCCATATACTTCAAAATTTACCTGTGCTCGGTGAAAAGAACGTAATTTTGCATTTTACTGTTCATAATCTACTTTATTCACTCTCTTTTGTCGTTTTTCCTCTTTTGCATCTCGTTCAGTGATTGCAACTCCCGATTGAATAAAAATGCGAGCGCACGTTCTCGACTCGAGGGCGAAAGACGAGCTAATCAACTCTCCAGGTCGAACAACACAAACTCAAAAATGGCAACAGCGCTAGCGGAAGGGATGAAAGAAATATTTAAAGCTCCGGTGCTTTCTCATACAAAACAAAAAGTATTCAAAAAAGTCTTAATTCGCCGGATTATATCTACATTAAAATGATTACCTTAATGAAAAAGACCAGGGAGCGTTACAAACGACACGAAATTAAATTAAAAACAAAAAGATTCCTTTTTTTAAATCAAAAGAAAATGCTAATTTTTAGAGTTAATTATTAGCGTAGGCGTAAAAATATTATTTATAACACTTTTTCTAGAGTCTAAAATTTTATAAAAATTTAAAAAATGTTTCCATTTATTGTTGAATATATCTTGCTTTCTTATATTTCCCCCGCGTAAATATTTGATTATATCATTTCTTCATTTCCACCTTGCGACCTTAAGCAAATACATCAAATAAACAAAAAATGCAAAAATACATCAGCAGCTGAAAGAAAATACTAAAACATTTATTCCGTGAGTAGCAAAACGACAAAAAGGCAATTTCGTGTTCATGGCGCGTCTTCTTGAACTTATCGCAACACGCACACAGAGTCATTACAAGTATGTGCTTGCTTAAGTACTTAAAGTTGTTACAAAGTTGTTTTTAATTAAATTTGTGTACAACTAAAACCAAACAATTTATAACGGAATAAATTTATATATAAAAAATGTGTTTGTACAACTTCGGTTTTGTGTATTTGTCGACGCAATAAAAACAAACTAATGCTAAAAATAAATAGATTTTAGGTCCTCTTGTAATTAACAGCTTTTTTAAATCATACTGAAATTCTTCAAAATTACAACATTTTTTCCTAGTGATTTATATACATACGAGTATTTATGAGTAGAAAATGTCTCAATAATATTAATGACACACATGCCAAGATGCCAACAATTTTTTCCGTGAATTTAATTTAGTTTAATGGCACACTTAACGCAAACAAAGTACGCGTGTGCTCAAAATTATAGTAAGCACATGTTCCATATCTTCATGAATGATTAAACGTTTTATGCGAAGCAGCGTGTGTCCTGGGCAAGTGTTACGATTTACGCAATTCGAAAAATAATGATGAAATCTTCGAAAATGCAAGTACACGTCTTTAATTATTATTTAATGCTCTTAAGGTTCAGCAATAAAGAGAAAATTAAATTTAAATTTCCTATGCGCATTTAGATGAGAATAAATTAAACTCAACACGAGTTCAAGTCGCGTTGCGTTCAGTCGTTGTTTGTGCTGGAGGAGTGAAGTGGGATCTCATTAATTATTGCGTGATTGTCATGTCTCATTACTTCTACTTGCGTATAAAGCTAACTACATAATGCAGCGTAAGCGTGGAAACAAATTTCCTCAACTCTTTGCTCAGTTGTTGATATTAAATTAATTTTCATATTATGTTTACCACATTGTTTTAAAAATGCATTTTTAGACATCAGTTATAATTAACTTCAGTGCCTGAACATGTAAATGCACAAAATATGAATTTTAAACTTTTTTTAGTGATTTTCGTCAAAATTATCTCCCAACAATGTGAAAATATGCACTGGCGCAAATATTCCAGCGAAAAATAAATTTTGATGCGCTATTGTTGGAAAATGAAAAATTATGCTCTAGTTGCGCAAGTTTAAAACCTCACATACAGCGCGCAGTTCGACGAAACGACTTATTATGTTTGCTGTCTGTTCACTGCCTCTGTTTGTCGTCGCCGATTCGCTAATGCTAATGACAGTGCAAGGGTGGCGTAGGCGGCTGCAAATGTGCATCCAGCGAGAGCGCCAATTACTTGCTTTTTTACTTCACTACATAAAAAAATCGCATATTGCGTCATACGCCACTATTATATAAAAATTGCACTATTTCTAGAATCTAGCAAATTACCCGAATAATTCAAATCAATTTTCCACTTAATAAACAATAAAACAATTAATAAATATTTATTCCACCAAATTACACTCAAACTTTATTAATTATATTTACAAATATTTAAAAACTGTCAAAACTTATTCAATAACAACGTAGGTGTTGTACAAAACCGAATCCAAAGTTAATTAATTACTCCGCCTAAATTTACTTATGCGAAATTCTAATTAACTAAGTATGTAGAACATAAAATAAGCCTAAGTATATAGCTGACTTTACGTTACAATACGCAACGTTAATCTGAATGCGAGTTTTATGCGAAAAGTAATTAAGAAAATCAATTGAAACTGGAATATGCATTTATTGCAATTGAAGAGTATTGAATGCTGATGGAATTTAATGATAGATAAATCTAATTGAAAACGCTCGGAATGTTATCAAAGGAAATGACTAATGATGAAGAGGGCAATAATTTCAATACGTTGAATTTCATCGCGCAGTTATCTTTTGTAACCTTTTCGGTCACACCTCAAATGCACTTCAAAACCTACTTTAATATTGGAAATTTCCTTTATACGTCTGCCAATAACTCACCATCAATTTATTAATGGAATTAATAGAATATTTTCAATGAGTATTGCAATGTAATAATAATGCACTTAGTTTTCTAAATCAAATTTTACAAAATTTTCATTTCTTGATATTTTAGTAATGCCTTTTTGTATTTCAACACTGATACTGATACCTGAATACAAATTAGACGATGTTATCACTTTTGGTTTTATGGTGTTTTCTTATCTTTGCGATTACTTCGTTTGAGCGCTTGAAACACTTCGTTGGCTGTTTGGAAATAATTCAACGTTTTATCGCACAAACGTGTTTCACTAACTTTTCCACACTGACACTTCGTTTATTCTATTTTCTTTCTCAAAACGTCGAAGCTAACCTGTTCAAAAATTAATGATCATAGGAGTTGTCTCCCCGGGAGGAAAATCTACAGTGGAAAATACGTCAATGGCTGTTATCTGAAGAGTGTTCCTAAAAACTTTATGTGATAATGATAAATCTAGCACTCGTCGTCAAGACAAATTTACAGACGTGATAAATTTGACTTCCATTTGTATTTGTCGCTTTAAACGAGAGATTTTATGGCAACATTGTCGTTTTAAACAATAAAATTAATATTAATAATTAGTCACCTTTCTTGTCCTTCGTTTTGTATCCTTTAGGTCGCTATCCGTGTAAAATGTACACTAAAATTATATTTTTTTCAGCGAATGTTACGTTTTATCACTACTTTTTGTATTTTTTGGTTTTAAATTTCCTATCGACTATAGATTCACACACACGTAGGCGAACACGGACGTCCGATGATAAGGTGTACACGCACGGTTGATAAAACAGACCTACCGCCGCCGCCGTCGCCGCAAAACGCAAATGACACGCACAGACGACGACGCCGCCGACTGAACGAAAAAACGCTTTGTGCACGTTATTTAAAGTCGACTTAACATTCCCCGCACTGCTCACAGACACACACAGGCAAATTTAACACGCACACAAATTCGCACTTGCAAACGCTCACTGACTGACAGTGATAATCGACTTGAACGTGTAATAATAAGCGCTGCCCCCGGAACACATCCAAAAATATGTCTTGTTACTCCTACTAAACTACTATATGTATACGTGTGTTTGTATATATTTTTGAATTCGGTGTTTGTTTTATTTTAAATGGCCGCTAAGTGTACAACTGGTTGCCTACATAATGCGCTAGACTTGTTTGGTTAGGTATTCGTTGCTTATATTTTTGTTTTGTTTAAGTTTGTTTGTTGCGTCGCGCGGCGGACTTCCGTAACGGGCGCGTGCGGCGGCCGACTGGGTAAACTTGCGCGTCGGCGGCGGCGGCGTCGCCACCGTCACCACGACTGAAGCCGCCGCCGCAGACGCTGCCAGCGCCGAACGCACGCGGAAACACACGATGATAACAATACACGAGCATACGTCAACAAGTGTGTGGTGTGGTTTAATTAATGGCGCACACATGTCACATTTTTCACCGCACATGGTTCACCAACTCTTATGATGATTAAATAAATAATTAATTCATTGTATGAACACACAACTAGTGTTTTTTGCGAGTTGGTTATTTTTATGTACTTTTGTCCTGCAGGAGAAAACTCGCGTTGTGATAATAAACGCATCCGTATATCAAACATTTGTCATCTCTACAATTCGCACCAAAATAAAAATGCAAAAACAAGCACCAGCGCAATGCATGACGTGTTGGAGTACAAACAAATTTTTTATCTGAAAATGTGCCAGCGTTTTATTATTTCACCTGCCAGGCTGATAAAACATGCCCTGAAATGTTTATTACTTTATTTTCGAAATTGTTTGTGGAAATATTCCAACGGAAATGCTAAATTAAAGAGTTAAACATTTTTAGAGCAAGTATTAATTTTTCATTAAAATTTAATTAAAATTAACAAACAAATATTAAATAATTTTCTAAGTTGTGCAGTTTAAAAACAACAATCTGAGTGTTTAAATTGAAATATAAATTTTTACTCGATCAAAATCAAATTTTGATTGACATTGTATACAACAGGTATAATTAATTATTAAATACGAATGTTATTAATGATTCATTGTGACCGAAACAATAAAAACTTGTATTTTGTTAATTTAAACAAATACAAAATTCCATCAATAACATTTGTGTATACTGAAATATTTAGTTAAAATGAATTGTAAAATGAATAATTAATAAAAACACTTCCGGGCACAACAAACGCGTCTTTTTACATTCCTGTACAATTCACTTCAAGTGCTAAAGAAATTAATCTGCATTATGATCGTTTATCATTCCTCAGCAGTCAGTTGGAGGGCGAGTGGCAGCGGTTATGAGATATGTTCATGACACTTTGGTAAATGGCAACACCACATGCTAGAACGACTTTAACAGCTTCTAGCACGAGTTAATCGGCCGGTTAACACCACAAGACGTCCGCTTTCCTTTCGCACTCGCGCTGGGAGACGCAATAAAAGCGCTGGAAATGGGTTAAACTCGCAAAACCGGAAAAGTTTTATTAATGGCACGCGGCGAATGCGAAAACAGGCAAACATAAGTTTACACTTATCGAAGTTCAAATGGCATCCAAACAACGTCCACAGAAAGTATAACAAAATATTAAAAAGTTTTATGACAAGTGTAACTATAACTAATTTTAGGAACCATTACAATACACTTTTATTCAAATTGCATCGTTAACGTCATATCAGTTCCAACTAATCGGTTTACTGCATAGTGCATAACAGGTAAATAATTAAAAGTAAATATTCCACACGCATTATTTGCATATGCACACTGAACTATATTCATGAGGTTGATAATGATGAAAATTATTAACTCTTCAGCTAACAAATTCCAATAATATCCCCGACATTTACTGCATAAACTATATTTAGGTGGCATATTTGCCACTAATTAAACTTTATAATTTATAATTATTTAATTTAATTTGTTAATTTCATGAATGTGCACGTAATCAACTCAAATCAAATATTAATTAATCTATTAATATAAACATTCATATTTTGTTTGATGAGCTATTACAAAACAGATCAAAAACAAATCATTAGTTGGAAGTCGCCAAAATTACCATAACATAGCATAACCTCAATAACACAAATTCTCGCCGCTTGTCACGAATTCACGTGAAATTTATTTATAGAGATCGAGATCAAAAGGACGAGAGGCGAGTCACGAGGACGCCTAATCACGATCCAGTGACACGTGGTAAAAGCAAGCGAGCATAAACCATGAAACCATATCTATATGTGGATTCATCACCACAATATTGATTAAGCCTCTGCCGACCTGCGAAAGCCGTCCAACCTGCGGTTACATTTCCTGGCTTACCCGAAATACCAAATGACATACAATCAGAGAGCATACCTAATGAATATGTATTAGGTAATAGTGTGTTGTTCAACGTTCAATAGCAATCAAACTTTGTTCGGAAAGAATTAAAATCGGAATAATTTATGGATTTTTCAAACATATCCTGCCATCTGGTAACCGATGTAGGAAGTGAAAAATGCGCGCATGATAGAGTAATGTGGGTAGCTTATATAGTTTATGGTTTCACCGTCAGATGGCGCGACGTGTATAAAAATCCAATATTAGAGCACAAAGCATGCACTTAATTTAAATTTATAATTTTGTGGCTACCGTGTGAATTTTTTGTATAGAATAAAACTAATTTTTAAGCTATTATACATAATAATTATGCAATACAAGTAAAAATTAGTTTTTTTTTTCTTAAATTTTTAGATAACTTGTATTTGTAAATGGTTTTTAATTATGTATATTAATAATGTGTGTCAGTAGAGTGTGGTTTGGTGTGTGCTCGGCCTTGAAAGAAAACTTGGCGTTGATATTCCAGCGCGGCGAATCGATACACCGACATTTAACAAATTGAAAAGGAAGCAAGGTGTGCGCGAGAGGCCTGCATACACGCCGCTGTTTGCACTGCCGATCCAATGCCAATGCGATGTGTTTGCATTGTCATTTCGATCAGTTTTCCCGCTTTCCCCATTTACCATTTGACTATTTCGCGCGCATCCTTGAAAACCGCGCACAGCGCCGTAAAACCAAATATTTGCTCGCGAATATTGTCATGCCTTCATTTAGAACAATGCATAAAGAATAATGAATACAATAACAAATAGACAGACAGCCCGCATATCGACATAATCATAATAATCAATCGGTGTGATGGAAATATTATTAGAGCAAACAGACGACGCGTCGAAAGGACAAAGCGGGCCGAAAACGAATTGATATGATAACCACAGCGTGACCAGCATAAAGTTGGTCGGGTTATGCGCATAATTTGTCATTTTACGAGAAGAAAAGAAAAGATTGATGAAATGTAGCACAGGATGGCCGAGAGACGGGCGGGTGGTATTAGAGTAGTGTGTGCGCAACATGTCCAAACAATATACAAACGGGCAAGCACGAAAATTCGACGGTGGTTTGCGGAGCCCACTTTGTGCGCGAGAGTCAATCAATCAATCAAATTACGTGTCCCGGTGCGGGGTCCCACGGGCGTCCTTTCGTTCGTTCTTGCGTAAGCACATCCATCTTATACGTCTCTCGCACGTAACTCTTTTATTGATATGACAAGGGTGACAAGAACAAACACACACGAACGCCCGCGCGCGCAATTCGAGTCAGAAATTGATTAAGAACGATCATAACTAGATAACGCCATAATTAAACACAAACATAAGTTACTTCGTGGGCAAATAATGAAGAAGATAGAAATTGATAAAGTTATAATTCAATTTTGATCTTGTGTCAAATAAAAAAAATTAATTTTCAAAATATCGCTATTAAATAATTAATTGTTTGCCAAAATAAAATTTATAATCGTAAGTTTTAAAGAATTACTAAATAAATTACAAGAATACTAATTATTTTCCGCGACTTCGTACCGGTAGTGATTAATAAAAATGTAATTCGTCTTTACTCTCTTGTTCTAGACATAGTATGTGTCAATTCTATCAATACGATTCGCAATTTTATTTTAAATAAATTAATTATATAAAGAATTGCTAATAATGCACTTCAGCGCGCCATCTCGGATTCAACAATTTAACTATAACTATGATTGAATCTCAATCCCAACTTTTACCCTATTGAAAAGGGCTGTCTTTAGGGTTTTTCCGGCAATTATTCCGATTTTTGCACGCCGTAAAAACCATTCAGTCCAGGCGTTGTTGAGTTATGCGCTTACCAACACATTTTGCGAATCATTTTTATATAAAATTATAAAAATAATATTTTTGCGATTGTACTGAATATATTATCGTAATATTAATAATATTTGCATAGTATATATGCACCTAAGTCAATTAATTCGATATGTTGATAACGCAAACCGATTCCTGCGCATTGTGATAATTATTGACCGATCAAATAATTACTGTACCTTTAAATCTTTCGTAGTGGATAATATTTTGTACGAACGTAAATCGAAGGTTTTTTTGCAGAAAAACTCACCTGCAAGCAAATAAAAAACATATTAATTCAATTTTATATAATAAAATATGATTATATGATTATACTCATTGATAAATCGGTTTTATTCATGTTGCCTCGATAACAAATGTCAAGAGCAACAGATTTGCATCTCAATTATTTCTACGTCAATGATGTGTTGTATAATGCAAAATGTAAGAATTGTGTTGTTCAATCGTATCGACGTAAATTATGAATGAATTATGAATAAAATAAAACGTTTCTTTATACAAAATTTAGTTATAATATTCTATCATAATACTATTTTTATTAAAAAAAAATTTTTTTCTTAAGTTTGCACACACGTTTCCATTGTATGACACTCTTTTCCGATTGATCAATCTACCATCTAGGAAACTACTCGAACGGAAATCGACAATGCAGGAAGGATTGCGATCGCGATTTCTACAAAACGAAATAAAAGACGAACCACGTCGTCGCCTGGAATTTCGTCGCGTTGAGGATTGCAATCGTTTCGTGCGCTTCAAAGACAGGACCCAAATCGAAATCACTACAATAATAGCAAAGAAATCTATACTATACTAAAAATCCTCTCATAACAAAATATTCTCGAAATAAGAATATCATAGAAAAATAGTGCGAGATTGTAATACGTAAAAAGGGGAAATTGCGAGCGCATTCGAACAGGATGGTAGGATCGCGTTCGCATTGCGGAAAATCAAATTTCCGCTTCGCTGCAAAGTACGCAGCGCAACGAAACGCTCCCCGCATACGAGTATACAACAAACGCAAAGTGCGCACCAATTCAGATTGAAATCTCAAC